TAAAAGCATTCATAACGCCGAGTGTACACTCTGGTGCACTTTGTTATATGTACACTAAGGAATCACTGATGCCCATATGAATTTAGGCATAGGTACAATACATACATTTTCCATATATGCATATACAAAATGTATAAATGTGTTCATATGTGCACAAATTCATATGGGAAGACATCAGTGATTCCTAGGCTGCGTTCGAGAAGACGCTATTAACGCTGAAAGCATCAGTCTATCTTCGTCACTCACTATATGTCGAACAAAAACAGCAGACGCTTTTAGCACTGAAAGCGCGCTCCCCCCGAACGCACCTCTGACGTACCAAACAATCGCCAAAAATCGCCTTTTGTTACTATTGCATTCAATGGATCTTTGATCAGATATAAACTACATGTATTATCTCTGTTACTTACCGGCACTACGGAATTCTTCATCGATTCCTCCGCGATATCCATCTTGCTTTCCGATCGATTACTGATCGACTTACCAATATCAACGCTGGCCGATGGACTCAGCGGATGCGCCGATTCCTTTTCCGTCATTTTCTCGATACCTGTTATATTGTCTTTAAGTAAATGTTTTAAATTTCTATCTCTATCCAATAATATTCATTGCCGTTCTTGATTTTAGGTCTATGAACTTGGTTTCCAGTCCACGTACAGAAGGAGACTCACCGGGAGTCTCCAACAGGGACGCCTTCAAAGTGCCGGGTTCAGCGGGTTGCGCGGGATGCGAACCTTCCATCGCGGTCTCGCTGACATTCTCGTTTGACGTGCTCGCAGGCATGTGACGACGCTGTCTCTTGCTGAGAGACTTCGCGATCGTGTTGCAATCACTGGGTAAGTTGGCGAGCGCATGGAACACTTGCCGTTTGCGTATTATAGTATAGACTAAGTTACTATTTCCATCAAATTGGTACTGAAAATCGAAAGCAACAGGTCTCATTTTATGCTGCTGAAAAAAATTGACACACATGTTCCTCGACTTTATCACGTATAGTAAAAATATTATTCAAAATTTACAAGAATAATTTTGTTCTGTCAGCTTCAAAATTAAGCAAGCCTATTGAGGAGTAAATTGTAAAATTAACAAAGAAAAAATTAGCCTCTTTTTTTTTAAATTTGTGAGCGATGTTATATAATTTACGCTTTCTTAAAACTTTTTTGTGCGTATATGATCGAGGAAAATGGAACATATGTTTCTTCCACCTAGGTCATTAAGGCGTGTGTGTTACCTGGATAATATTGTTAAAGATCTCGAGCAAAAAGAACACCAGATGGTGATTAGTGGGCGCCGAGAAAAGGAACCACGGTGTACTAAATGCTTCCAATAGATGCAGTAGCTTCGTACTGGCCACCATGGACAGTGTTTTAAGGTACGGCGAGACATTGACTAGAATCGTTAGTAGACAATCGAATAGCGGTTGCAGTCGCTGATGGCCGGTCGTGATGATTTTATGGAATACAGTAACTAAGAGATCAGCATGCGTTCCTGAAATGAGATGCATGCTGATAATAACAATTTAAGTGCACCAAAGTGCACGAGACTTGCAGAAATTTTTTTTAAATATAATATATTCTTGACACTACAATTATCTAAAATAAGAAACTAAAATTTAATTTAATAATAGAAAAACTAAATTTAATTATAAAAATATTAATAAAAATTATAAAAATATAATTTTAACAATTGATTTTACAATAAAAACTGCATCTATAATCGCACTATATTACTTTTTTAATTAAATTAAAATCAAGTCGTTTTTTAAAATTATCAAATACGATGTAATTGATAATTGTCACACCTGTAAAAACGGGAATGTCCATAGGCACTGTAGCTGTGTACGGTTTATTCAATCTCACTCCGAAATTGCGCTCTCCGCTCAAAAGAAGTAAAATAAATACGCCGATGTGCATTAAACCAACTCGTGCTGAAAAAGTGGAAACGTTAAAATAGACAAGCAATTTAGTTAATTAAAAGGACGAATTTCATTTAATGTATTGTTCCCTCAATCGAAGAAACAGGGAGTAAAAACCTACATTGGTCAGCACGCGAGTCGTTTAAGTGATAAAGAATCGGTACAAGAACCTCAAGAACATCCGAACTCTTTAGCACATAATATAAGAACTTCTTGTTGTAATCACACATTTTCCAGAAGAACACTAATAGCTCCTGATGAAAATGTACTTTCTTTGTTGAATTCGGCAGATACGTTTGCATCAATGGGTTATTCAACAATCTAGTGATACCCTTCAAAACAAATTGAAAATCTATGGGAACAAAAGAATAATACATTTTAGTCTTATTTCGGTACAATACTCCAGGCTCTCCATTTTTATAATATACATTAATTTTTCTCTCTAAAAATTGGCATTTAATTAAACGAGAATTTATTTACTGCAAATATCGAACTTCGGGATTTAAGTAATAATTCTGAACACATGTTGCTTCAACAAAACTTTAAGACAAGATCCAATTATATAAAATTAAATATTAAAAGCCTTACCTTCATCGCGGTGGATTCGACTTAGATAAGTGATGAACAAATTATCTCCGATTGCCCCCTCTTCCAACAGCGCCCCGCCAGAGGTATCGTGATCCAAAGTTACGATCAATATTTGTAACGCGACATCGACTAGCGGTTCCAACGAATCGGTGAACAGTAAATGATTATATGGCACACCATATCCGACAGGATCGTATGCGCATACCGTGTTCAAGAGCGATGTAAACATGGGTAAGGCGTGTCTGTGAACATGCATATGTAATTAATATTAAGTTATAATTGCTAAGGTAAAAATATAGTGATATACCATTTAAGTATCCTTTGTATATCGTTAAATTATTCTAGTTACTATATTCTATATAGAGGAAAGTCCCCTATTATGATATACATTTCTAATATGAGATAGTAGCCTTTAAACATTCACATTCAATCACAAATCTTTTTTCACAAAAATTACACAAACTAACAATGAATTTTCCACTAAATACATTTTACTTCAAGGGCATAGTAATCAAGCTTTAAATATTGAAACTTCTTACTGGAAAAAACAAAAAATCTAAAGGGAAAAGACTTGAAAATCTCGTATTTAAAAGTATACAAATGTAATATAATGCGATAATAAATATAAAAATATAGATATTTAAGCGCGATTATATTGAAACAAAGTAAACTACCTGTTTTCACTGCTAGTCAAGTGCTGTATCCACTTGTTCGGCATGATCGACAGGTCTGTCGGCGGATTGTACATGGTTTCGCTGAAGCATGTCAGCAAGAGCTTCAGCAATTCCGTGCGATTCGAATCTAGGATAGGATACCTGGGTGGCGAGTAGGCGAAGCCTACTCCCGCTTCCCAGATGTATTCGCAGCTGTCTATCGACTGCAACTCATCGGCTTTGTCCTAGAAAGACATCACGTAAGGTGTAACACGTTCCACGCTTTTTATCGAAACTCCGATAGTTAATGAAGGCTCACCGGACCGGATTTCCTGTTGGCAGCTACAGTGAAGTCAGGACAAAACAACAGATCCTAAAACAGAGATAGATTTAAGACTACACAGTGTACCTTGTTTAAGATATATTCGCATACTGTGTACAAAATATCACCAATTGATTATTAAGTAATTAACAATATGATTGTATTGCCAATTTATTATAAAATTTGTAAACTGTCTTACACAGAGCGCGTTCAGCAGGGAGTGTGCCAATGGCAAGCTCTCCTCGTCGTCCTTGCCAGGTAAACTGGACCAAAAGAAACCTTTCCAATCAGGATCCTCGAATATGTAAGGTAACAGGCGCGTCAGTAAGCGACAGCAGTTCAGGACGGTCTGATGCTCCCGCTGGGTCCTGCAGCTACTGTCCACTGCCTTGACCAACTTCTCCACCGCCTTGTAGCATAATGTCGCTAAGTTAGAAGGCGCCTCTTCCCTCAACACACGAATTTCTGGTGCCGGGATCAGGGTAAAGATGTCCTGGACGTTGGTCACATTCTCAGACCAGAACTGATCCCAGAATATATCGTCCGATGTATCGATCACCTGAACAGTAGGTGTTACATAAATAAAGCATGGAATGTAGTCAACAGGTCGAATATCTCGAAAGACCTTAATTCTCAGGTAATCATTTTCGCAATAGGATTTCTTTACAGTATGGGGAGGCGGGTACTGAATGCTAAATATAGCATTCTAAAGTAATTAGAAATTGCTCATTGATCTAATACGTGAATTTAATGACGACATTAATTCGACCTAAACGAAACCATGTTGTGTCCAAAAAGATAAGCGCAGGGCAAGGTGGAAAGTGGTATACGAATTCATATCTTAGATTACAATTATTAGGCTACCAACATCCCAGACAGCCAAATCTGTCGGAACAGATTTGTGTCAAATGCCCACTACAAATTTTGAAGGCAGAAAGACTGCAGATTGCACGCAAGAACTGATATATATTCGACGTGTTGCCAGAGTGTCGGCAGAAATGCGACAAATCTGCTCAAACAACTGAGCCTGTTTGATTTCCGCTGACAATCTGACGACAGCGTGTGCTTTACAGACTCTGTTGCCAAAACCAAAGCCAAATGTGGACAAACGGCTATGGTTTTGGCGTGGGCTTCTGATAAATCTGCTGCCAATCTGCTAGCATTTCGCCGACTAGGATCTTGCTCGGACCTAAAACAGCTCTCGTCTGATTAATTCTTAGCATTTAATATGTAACACACGTCAAAAAACATTTAACAACTGATCATGACAAAAACATTTACTAAGAATCCAACACGTATCGATATGCATAGAGAGTATAAAATCCCATCTTCATTATTACGTGTCGTGTAACACTTTTACAATTGTTCTGTGTAACAGTCATTGTTGTTGCAGATCGACGGATATTAAGACCGCTATCACGTTCACAATCTCTTAGGCAACATCAATTTTGATCGAACACGGCAACGTGTTCGATCCTTTTTTCCCCTCGACACGTCGATATTGCGTACAACAATAAAAAAATGTAGCTCTTCTGGTTGGATTCATCGTGGAGACTCGTTGCTCGCAAGTCTCTTCGAGGAAACGTATTCTCCATCGACCTGTCAGCCGATCATATGTTACCAGTCAGGTAAACAAGCGTGTGTCCCTACCTGAGTCTTCGACGTTAATTGCACCACAGCCTTCCGAAAGTTCAGCTTTGTGTCAGCATTGCCCATCGTGTTTCTCGTTAGCGCCGGCGGCAATTGAGATTCGTCGTAGCCGAACGGGAGTGAAAACGCGTCGCTGCTCTTTAAACGGACACCATCGTCGCCATGTTCGCATTCTGACAGATAAGCGGCAGGGCGACAGGTAAGCGGAGCTGCCAACCGCGATACGTTTCGCGCGAAAAAGACGAATGGGAAAGTGGCGAGAGAGAGGAGCGGAAAAGAACTTGGACCAAGTTCCAGCATCATGGAGGCAGGCCCTTAGAAATGTCGTGTCCGTTCTTATATCTTTCGCTTCTTACTGAAATATTGATGAAATTATAATAAAACACGGGAGTAATTGAAAGAAATCTTCAAACATAGTTTAGCAAAATCCCATTATATTTCCAGGAAGTGAATTCACTTTACATAACATTTATTTCCACCAGGAAGTGAATTCACTTACATAACATTTATTTTTAAATACACATCTTCGACGCTCGTGCAAAAAAAATTGCTAACACAACTGTTACAACTTGTAGAAAGTAGAAAATATCAAGAGCACGCAACAGTAATACAAATACATACACTGATATCTTGTAAACGCACTGCGTAAAATGCAAAAGTTAAAAATAATCATCCTGTAATTTCTGTTTCGTTCGAGCGACGTTTCCGCGCCGTTCTCGCTTACGAATCCCGTTTGTTCTCCTCTTGTTCACTGATTACCGTTTCCCTGTGCTCCTTGTTCCACTTCTCCATCTCGTTGACGGAGATCCATACGTCGTCTGCGAGTAATTCAGGCTCCTCGAGTGCCGCAAAATGGCCACCTCGAGGCATTTTAGTAACGCGCAAGAGATTCACGAATCGTTGTCTCAGTACGTCCGGACTATGCGTCATGATTTCATAAGGGAACTGCGCGCAAGTGCTGGGAACTTTTATCGGTGTCCTGTAAAGAAAATGACACTTGACATTTGAAACTTGTCGCACTGCAATAATGAAAACTTGCGATAATAAGTCACATACGATTCCAGGATCGACGACAGGGGTCGGTTGGTCTTGGTGTACATTGCAGCGTATATTCTCACAGCTGTAGTAATGCTATTCGACACCCAATAGATCATCAAGTTATCGATCAACTCGTCGTACGTAAATTTCTCCAGAAATCCACCATCTGCCCTGTTTTTGTAAGACGGATTTGTACCAGTCGAAAATTTCTCGATGATATACGCTGCCAAACCGGCAGGCGAGTCGTTCAGACCGACCCCTGAAACGCACAATGCTCTGAAAAAAAATTGTACTTTCGCCCGTTCGCGTGCAAAATCTTATACCCAATTTATAACGAGTTGCAAACGTATGCCAAATCTTTTAAATTTACACAATTGTATAATATAAATATGTCGCGTACCAACTGTGTCTGGTTTTGTAGCTTGGATATGATAATATCCGCTCTCTCCCAGGAAAGAACCAGAACCTTTCTTCTTCTTTGCCCAAGGCAAGGAAGGAAGGAAGCCCAAAGCTATTTTCAATAAAGCCCACTTATTGAATACTAGGCACAAATTGGAATGCATACCCAAGACGCTAAAATTTGCATAACATATAGAATTGTTGTGCGAGTCCCCGCTGCTAGGCACCGCATTAGGTAACCGATAATCTCTAATAAACTTACTATTGCGGATATAGACACGACATAGTGTGAATAACGGTGGAACCCCAATCACCGCCTTGAACGTAATACTTATCGTGACCAAGCCTGAGCATGAGATTCTTGAAAATTACGCTCACTTGCATAGCCGAAAGATCGGGTATTGTGGCTGCGCTGGAGAAACCGAATCCTGGTAGCGATGGCACGACCACTTCAAACACGAAATCGTGCTCGGGTCTCGGTGAAGTCAACAATGGAATGATCTTGTAAAATTCCATGATAGAGCCGGGCCATCCATGTACGAGTAACAATGGCAAAACGCGTTTCCCCTCTGCATTACTTGGCTTCACATGGACGAAGTGAATGTCCAATCCTGCGATAAATATACGTGTATACGTTAATTTACCATCAAATAGATTAATAGAACATTGAGAAATGACGCAATAAAAATATTAACTTTGATAACGGGACCTCTTTGTCGATGTCTATAGATTATAAATTTCGTTCTCTGGTCGGAAATAATTTGAATACACTTATTTGTCCGAGTATCTGATTTGATTCTATTTCATTTAAACTATAATTCGAATTTTTATCACCTAGCCCTTTACACAACAATGCTGGCTCTTGAATCAAAAGCATCACGCTGCTCGGTAAAAAATACTCGGGTGATCAAACAGGGTACTAGTTATACTTTTCTATTCGCGACTCTTACCTTGAATATTCGTTTGAAAATGTGGATACTGATTTATGTATTTCTCACGTTCCTCAAAATTATAATTATTTTCCCAGTGGTCCAGAAGTTTGCGCAAGGCATCGGTGTTGGTGCCGTAATTCCAGGCAACATCCTTCAACGGCGGCGTCAGCTGTCTAGTGTGCTTCAATCGATATTTCAAATCTTTTATGACCTGCAAAAAATTGCAAATTAACAAACGTATGATTCAAAAGCTCGTGCAGTTTCATTGAAACGACTAGGGCGATATTCGTAGTCAGACCTTATATTTGAGACCGTCTTAAAATCATCTTTGGATAATTGATCGTACACGGGGAAAAAATACTGTTGAATTAAAAAAATGAAGTTGCTAGATTTAAACATTAATGCCACGGGCTGCCACAAATACAAATAAGTTATGCAATTGTATTTGCTATGGATTTTAATTTTAACCATTGAACTAAATGTCCAGATTATTGAGACTGACATCTGATGTTTTTTATTCATTAATACTGATGTTGTTCCAGCGGTTTCATTTCAATTGCACTGATCTTGTTGGTACATCTTTCTTTTCCGTGTAGCCAATGAAACGTTCTGTACGGTATCTTTAGATAAATTCAAGGCTGCCTTGAATATAAGACCTGACTATGAATACCGGGTCCTGGTCAGATCTTATATTTAAGGCCGTCTTGAATTTATCCAAAAATACTGCGGATGATTTTAAGACGGTTTTAAATGTAAGGTCCGATTATGAATATCGCCCTGGGCTTCCCAAATCATCGATAACAAACTGAAAGCTTTCGTCCGTCTTTCAAATTGTATTAGTCATTCTTATTGTTAGCTACACTTGAGCCACCGTTTTCCAGCAAGAGACTATTTTTGGGCTCTCCGCTGGAATCGGAACCGTAACGCCCGTAGCCCTGCCTTCGGACTGCATAACGCAAAATCACCCAGAAAGAGACGCAGTACATTGTAGCAAGTCATTTTAGCCTTGCTTAACATCCGGTGAAGAACAAGGATGAAACGAATACCGTCAACTAGCAATCACAATTGCAATACATTATTTATATTTGTGGCAGCCCGTGACATTGTCAGCCCCGTGTACGAATTATCATTCGTAGTAATTACAGCACGTTTTATATTTAAAATTACTTTGAATACAATGTCGTAAACTCACATCCCAGCAAACACCAGAGTAACAGGCATGTGCGTCATATTACATTTATATTGATGTTATGTAACTGTTACTTCGGCGTTTGCTGGGATATTAGAAGCAGTATGAATACCGGTAAATTGCCGGTTTCTCGCGTGAGAGATAACGAGAGCGCCCGTTATCTCTGCACTCGTAAACTTTTTATCTCTCCAATTACGTTAAGCTATATCCGTCTCGTTTTGGATAAAAGTAGTGCGCGGCACCTCCCGGATATACTGTAGCTGTGACAAATCCCTAGGTGCATTGGCTAAAATACACATTAATCCAATGTTAGTTATATTAGAAACGCACCGGCCGACATTGTTCAACGTAAAGCCAACATTGGCCATGGAATAAGTGTAAATATTGCACGACAATAATTATACAACATTACATTCATATTGGAAGCGCATCGGCCAATATTTAACAATGCAATAAGAACACTGGCACAATATTAGACCAATATTGCTAGACATATTGGCTAAAGGTTTCTTTTCTGTTCCTGCACTGAACTAGCGCAATAAATTGGAGTAAGACAAGTACATTTTTTCTTATTCTAGCTTACTGCACTAGTTCACCAGTGCAGCAACAGAAAACAAGCCTTAAGTAAGAGAAGGCGTCCACCTTACAATATTGGACCAATATTGGCGATAGATTCACATTATTTCCCAATATTGCGCCAATATATTGTGCTGTTAGGGGCTGCTTTCGCGAGAGGATCAAAATGATCCCGATTAAAATGACCTTGTGCTACAATCGGTCAAGCTTTCAGAAACATTAGCCACGTTCAGCAGGCACAACTGTTGAGTGAGCGCTCAACGATTTCCTAATATGATTGGCTGGATATAAAAGTAGTAACTAATCATACCAAGCGCTCACTCAACAGTTGTGTCTGCTGAACGCGGCCATTGTTGCAATGTTTCCGAAAGCTTCGGCGCTGTATGGAAAATCTGGACCATCATTGAATACAATTTCAACGCGACGCTACGAGATCTAAGATTTGACCAATCGTGGCGCAAGGTCATTTTAATCTGGATCACTTCGATCTTCTCGCGAAGGTCAGCCGTGGACAGCGCAAGTCGTCTAAAGCCTCCGCTACAATGATTCTCGGTTCTGTCTACAATGGTCGTAGTCGTAGTCGCTCGATAAGAATTGACCAATCGCAGTCGATTATTCTTACGACTACGACCATTGTAGACAGAACCGAGAATCATTGTAGCGGAGGCTTTAAAGGCTCGTCTACACGACAAGGCGTAAGGCGCGGCGCAAGAGCGCGGGCACAGGCGCAAGAGGATTTTTCCCGATCGTAGGGTCGTGGCGCAGCGGCGCAAGCGAAATAAACTAATTTTATTTCCAGCGCCTGAGCTCTTGCGCCGTGCCTTGCGCCTTGTCGTGTAGACGAGGCTTAAAAGATGCGACGTTATCTGCGTATACCTCCGCGGCAAAAGTCACTTTGTACGGCCTGACGTCATTGTTGACGGAGCTCTCGGTGCCGGGCGTCCACCAAGTCTCCGGTAGCTTGGGCGGCTTCGTCCCGCGGGACGAGAGGTACCTTCTCGCCAGGACGAACAGCATGGCGCCGCCGAGGAGGATCGCGCCGAGCGCAAGACAGCAGCAGGCCATTTCACCGGTGGAACAAGCGCGTCCGTTACCCACCAAGTACCCGGGGCGACTGTTTGCAACGTGACGCAGCTACCGTTGCCGTCGACGTTGCAGGGGTGTAGCGGCGCGTGCACGTCACGAGCGGGAGACTTGGAGAGACTGGAAATTGGAAACGGAGGCTTTTGTAGTCGGGAACGTCTCACCGGGCGCCTGCTGCAAATGTTTCCGGCACAGATACCAGCGGGAATGTAACGGGCGCCGCTCCCTCTCGCCGGGTTATAAGGCATGCGAACGGCACGTGAGCGATCTCGTTGTTTCGTTCAATTCGCGGCGATTGCGAGCGCGCGGCGGATTTGAAGAGCGACTACAGTTGAATTTTCAGATCCCGGGCAAGTCTAGGGCAAGGGCGTACGCGCTCGAGAACCTTCTCGAACCCGAGAGGGTTCGTAAAGCTCTCCGGTCGAAATCTCAGAGTCGTTTGTCGAGCGCTGAACGCGTGTCAATTGAACCGGTGAGAGTCGAAAGGGTACACGACGTTTCGGGCTCCCGAAATCGAGTCGACAATGAAGCCTTGCTGTTTAAACAAAAATTTGCTTTCGTGGAAACTTGCTTCAAGGGGCCCCTGATTTGGGGCAATGAAGTAGTAGAAAACCTACTGGGAGATTCGTATTATTCTTATAAAAGGTTTTTGTGTTTTTCTCCAATTTTGCACTCAATTATTTCTCGTCGATTCACTCGTTCCGTTGGACAGACGGGAGGTTCGGTTGACGGGATTCAATGCGCCCTGGCCGCGCCCGCGCTAGGCACTCGACTGACGTCGCGAGCGGTGCGCATGCGCGGGAAACCATTAACCGTTTTCTACACGCACGCGGCACGCGGCGCGCGGAACGCAATTGTCCGAACACAACTTGTTGACCCTGTAACGGTACTTCGCGCATTGTTGACAAACGGAGGATTGTCGCGGAGAAAGAGCGGAAGGGAAAGAGAGTAAAACGGAGACTCGCCCGGCGAAACTCCGCCGCGATGCCGAGATACTCGGCCAGACGGAGCCTCGCGGTGATTTCAATCGAACTCCGACCGGCGATTAACCTGGTCGAGTAATATCGTTTTGGTAGATTTCTTATCAAATTTAGAATTGTTGTATCGCCAGTAATTAAAACAAAATACTCAAGGATTAGATCGACCAAGGCTGGCAGTTTTATTTTATTTTAAAACAACGTTGTCACAAGCAATAGGATCCACTTGAAAAGGACCAGTATTACTGGCCGAAACGTCGTGGTAAAATTTAAAATAAAATAAAACTGCCAGCCTTGGTCGATCTAATCCTTGAGTATTTATTATAGATTTCTTATGTTTCTGTTCTTCGCTCGAAGTGGCGAGAAGGAAGGACCGGGGTCAGGGACGATAACCTATGTGTGGTTCGCATATATTTTGCTCTAAATTATGTCGCTGAAGTTTAATCGCCGGTCAAGTCGAGCGTAGGCTGACCGACGTCGCCCCCCCCCCCCCTGAAGTAACTAGAATAATCCAAGATCATGGACGTAAGAATATATGGACGGAGCGTAATGTAGGATTTAGGACGAGGGGACCCAAGCGAGCGCGGTGAGGGGAAATTGGGTGGCGGCCATATGTGATGACTAGGTGATTGTAAGGACGCCTCGTGGTAGCGTCGCCGCCATATGTGATGACTACTTTTCCCCTCACTGCTCTGGCTCGGCCCCCGCTAACTTACACTCCGTCCATATATTCTTACGTCCATGTATAAACTAGAGACACTATTCGGAACGCACCCTAGGGCCGTCTCTCTACATGCTGGTAACAAGTAACAACAGTTGCGCCGATCGTGAGCTACGGACAGCTGACCGACCGGTTAAACACTTAAAACCACTTTAAACAAGAGATGACGCGTGGTTCGGTGCTATCGCAAGTGATTATTAGCGTAAGGGTCCGTGATTTTATCTCGACCCTCATCCCACATATTTTCAGCACTTACGTGTCTCCTGGCGCGGGTATAGAAGGCAAGTTTAACGGGTACCGAAGTTACTAGCGGCCAACAGGCAGATTAAAAGAGTTCTTGAATTGAAGCGCAGAGAGTTTAATTGCGCTGTGCAACGAGAAAAGTCGTTAGGGGTAAAACGGTGAGGAAAAGCAATCTTTCGTACGTCACGCTAATGTAACCTAGAAATATTGAACCCCAGCTGAATTGCGTTTTTTCGTAGTGGGAGAATCAAAAAGAAAAACACTCTAAGTGAGATGAGGAATGCCAGGATAGATTTAAACAGGAACCAGAGATAAAGGATGGACTCGTATCAAGATTTCGTGCACAAATTCAAAAAGGCTGTGTCCGACAAAGCTTACAGCGACTTGTCGAATCTTTTTAAGGAGGGTCAAGGATACTTTGCCATCGTTTCGCTCGAACATCGTGGTAAATATCAATTAGTGCATTAAAAATAGTGATACATGATATTTCGTTATCAAATCTTGTCGTTTTTCAAATGGCAAGACGACTCTCGTTTCATACTGTCGCGTTAATTCAAACGAGAGACAATTTTAACCACTCCTGCGGTAACAACTCTTTTCGAAGACGTAGATAAACGAATGACGTTCGAATTTTCAAGCTTTTGAAAAACTTGTACCTTCGATGACAACTTTTTTAAATTACGGTCTGTGTTAAAACATGGCTCGTTTCACTAAGCTCATTCCTTGCTGATTGCACTGTAATATAATAATTGAATTGAATCTCTAACACACGCACGTACTCGTCTAATTAACTGTACGATAATTTGTCTGTATCTATAGAGTCGGCTGTACACAGCATATTTGACAGAAGAGATGGCTTGCTGTACTTCCTCGGCGACGAACTTGCAAGTCAAAGGACAGATAATCGAAGCTCACGTAAACACGTTGATGACTCGCTGAAAGAAGCGTTTCATTTTCTAAAGTTTTTCATTCAAAATTTTTATACTACCCCGCACTTTGTACAATATATTCAACAAATTAAGGTATTGTACTTGACAGCGTCAAATATTATACAAACGGATATTGATAGTGGTTGAAGATAGTTGTCAGTGATCAATAATATTGATTAGAATAATGTCACAATATTGATTAGAATGTCTATTTTTATAAATAGTATTTGGAAATAGACATCCAAGAAATATGATGCTATACTTTATACAACATTTTGTAATTTACTTGTAACAATATTTTGGTTCTGTGATACGTTGCAGGAAGTGTGTCATTCAGGACTGAGGGTAAAAGGTGTTCGCTATATCCAAAAAGCTGCCTGCGAAGCTTTGCAACAATTGATAGAATTATTCGAGGGTCATCATGATTTAAAGCTTACCGAGACAGTCGAGGAGTTTAAAAATATTACTCGTTACGACCAAGAAGGTAGGAACACAGGTTTTGCTTTGAATTATGTACAGAATGTAATATCGTATACCGTTTTAGCAGAGCGTGCATTGATACTTTGCCTATTCGGTAAAATAGTCAAGCACAGTGTCTTGCCGCCGAAATCGCGTTTGCTCGTTTTCCATCTATATACCGAGGCGTTTAATGGGGTAAAGTTGATAGCAATGATATATAAAACATAACTGTAAGGCAATTTGTTAGACATCAAGAAATCACATGATGTATTTTAGGTGCTGTGTTCGAGACGTATTAATATGTCCAATGACACCAAGTTGCCCGAGAGTTTTTCTGCATATTTCAAGTCCCTCGCGGATATGTTGGATAATGCAGAATTGCCGGACAGGCGCAAGGAGGAACTCGTCAAGAAGTTGTACTATTGGATTAAGAGAGTTATTGCATTAGATGAAGCAGTCAGAGAACAGCAAGGAAACAAGCACAGAGTGGTAATGAAATCAGCGATTGATCTTTTCGCTCGTCATATGAATCTATTTCGAGACCTGCTGTATCCTGATCACAAGTACTGGCACAACACCCTCCGGAGCTTGTCGCGTGAAACGACCGAGTGCGGTGAATATGGACGGCGCGCATTGAAAAGATTTTATCGAATTATCGGACAGATTCTCGCAGGTCAAAATAATGAAGACAGCAAATGCGTATTATTGGTAAAGATGCCACATAAGATAAAGGAGATGCATATGTTAATTTTTTATTGTGAACTAAATCTCAAGGAACTATAATGTCTAATAAAATGGTGTTCTTTAATTAATCTCAGTTTTATTTATGATATATTTTTCGTTTCAGGATTTTATGGAGCATTTCCAGCAAGAATTTAAAAATACCAACTTAGATTTAACCACGTTACAATCAGTCGTTTATGGCTTCAGTCAAATGGCTGCGCCGTGCAAAGTGCATATGGAGCAACTCAATGTGAGACATATGTATTCCATTATAACCAGTTACGCGCTTCCTCTTTGTTCCAGGTGAGATATTTGAGATATAAGTAAAAACCTGAAATACTTATATTAGAATTATATTGGAATTTCTTTTATATTAACGAGAGGACAGCGGATAATTTTGTCTGTTCTTTTTCAAGCGAGAACAGCCACTCGACGCACATAGAGAGCGTCTGTTTTTATCAGAAAGCGCTCTCGGAAATACTTTGTCACATGACTGACGTTACAATTGAAAAAATTAACGTCCTCATAAAACTTAGTAATTATACGATCAAGAGATTCCCTGACTTAACATCCAATAACGCGCTCGCTGTTTCATCGTTGATCACAATTATTAGCAATCTCGCGACCGTTAGTAAAGGTCTGTTGCAACGATACCTCGACAGCATAGGTGAGTAAATTGATCTTTAACAAGTACCTCTATTTGGATAATTTATAGAGACGATTTTATCCAAGGTAACATTTTTCACTCTAAATTATCCAAAGGGTAATTGCATGACGATAATGAAGTCTCGATATTTCCTTGCGGGGATCTGATGTATTAAATCTCGTCTTTGTTCAGTTTACGACGGTATCGCGTGGAGTTGCTCGCACACATTGGCGCTCGACGCGGAATTGCAACGAGAGCTGAACAACCTGCGAGAATCGCCGGTATGCTACAAGAACTACCTGTCGCTGTGGACGGAGCTGCTGAACGCCGGGAGGTATCGGGAACACGAGCAGCTGGCGCAATACGTAGCGAACACCATGACGGACGTGTGCATCGCCTTAATCAATCGGCTGAACATACAAGTGAAACGAAAGGACGAGGACACCGTGCTGTCCGACGTGGCTCTTACCCAGAGTGCCGTGAATCAGGCGGACTTCCGCGTGTTTGCGAATCTCGTGGATCTCTACGTGGATGTGGTCGATGCGACAAAGCCGCAGTTGTTCGCCGACACCGTGCACAGATTTCTCTACGAAGCCGTCCGATTGTCATACAGATATCCGCTGATATCCGGCTTCTACAAACTGATACGAGCCGGTATGAAAATCTTTGCATCATGGGAAGGGGAGGAGCAGCAGGAGGGGGAGGAGAAAACCGCAGAGACGCGGCAGACGGAAGAGCTTCTATCGAAGTACTTGTGGCACACTCTCGATCTGGTCCCCGCGTTCTCTAACGAGCTACTGATCGCGTGCCTTTACCTCATCTTGAACGCGCCCTTCGCGTACGTCGAGGGCACACTATCACGCACACTGCCGGCGTTCAAGATCGCGTTCACCGTCGGTCTGGGCAACCTAGAACTCGCGTACAACGCGCTCACTACCCTGGAGACGTGGACGACGGTGCAGAAAGAGAAGCGAGATGAACAAACGAACGAACTGCTGCGCGAGATTATCGCATACCTGGAGCCGTACTTGCGTAGCACGGAGAGCTCCGTCGAGATCTCGCAGGACTTGATGATGACGAGGAGGCGCGTGAGGCGCGTAGACATCATCGACACCGAGTGTACGTTGCGAAACTTCCAGCGGCGAGTTCTGCTGTTCCTCGGATCGCTCGACCACGATCTGTTTACGAGCTTCGTGCACGAGCGCGCTTCTCACAGTACCGGGGCGACCTGGGATCGCAAGAATTTGCTCAAGTTCAACCTGCCGTTGCCGGACGTGCGACTAGTCATCTACTTCGATCGGATGCTGCCGCGGATAATCGCGCTGGCGCGCGACTCCAGCGACCGACGCACCAAGATTGCGGCCTGCGAAGTTCTGCACTCGGTGGTGATTATCTTTGTCGGCTCGCCGTGGTTAGTCGATCACTACGCCGCTCTCTGCGACACCCTGTGCCGGGCTGTACTCGTCCTCGGCTGTGACCCCGACGAGGTCGTGTGCGGTCTCTTCCATCCGTTGGCACTGCAACTGATGCACTGGCTGAGCTCCAGGAACACGTCGATGGCGACGGTGATCGATTCGTTGTTCGACGGTTTAACCGATAACTCAAATCCGGCTTTGCGCGAGTTCTCCGGCATGTGTCTGGCAGAATTCACACGCTGGACGATGAGGTACCGATTAGGGAAATCAATTTATTAAAAAAAATTTTCTTTTTAGGAGCAAACATCTCTCAGAGTGATTAATGAGTCAATTTGTCCATCAGGCAAGACAGGCAAGCAAAGCATGTACTTGATATCATCAAAAGGATCAACAGACTCGCGTTGCACCCGTCAACGCGTAAACGCGTAGCCGCGGCCGTGGCCTTCAATCATCTCTACGTAATCCTGCGCGAGAACGACGAAACAGTGTCGAAATACTGGTTGGAGATATTCTACTGTTTCGTCCACAGCTTGGATGGATATAACGATCCGTCGATCTCGAACGCGCTGGCTCACATCGAGAAAGTAATGATATTCAAGGCAGAACTTCTGAACATGACCACAGAGAGTAATCGTCGAAAACCACCCGAGTTTGACGAGGCAACCCTGACCTGTGCTCTGTACTGGTTGCTGTCGCGATGCGGAACTCTCGACGAGCATTGCCGTACGAAATGCATGGAGCTGTACGTCAACATCTCACGGCACGTCGACGGTTCTGAGCAGGAAACAACGCAGAACTTTGTCAAGACTTATGGGATGAATCGACTGAACGACATTATCTTGAAAGGCGCGGAATTGGGCGCGGAGGACATTTCTATGATCAGTAACGTGACGCCGCTGTTGAAGGCTCTGGACTGTTACGTGTGGCTGATAGACAGGCAATTGTTTCCGGTAGAATCGCTTTTTCCCAGCGACAATGTGGACAAGCAAGCTATCTTTCTCTGCATTCGCAGTTTTGCTTGCCAATTCTGGCGAGTAATTGCGGAGTCTTCAGCTGCAACAATGAACTCTAGAGAACTCGAACAACTGCAGACGCTACAGTGCAAAGTCCTGATGACCATGTTGAACTTCATACAAGTGTTACTGAACATCAACGTGAGTTGTCTCGACTACTAATTTTAGCTTATGTTACTACGATAAATGTAACACCGAGATTTATTGAATAATCAAATTAATAAATGATAAAAATAATTGAAGCGAAATATATGATATTGATTACAAATAAGTGATCAATCATTAGGTTGGAAAGTAATTACATTTTAATAAAATTTATTTGATATCGACTAATATCCACGCGGAGAGAAATTTTTCTTAAAATTTACCTCGAAAATCATGTAATCGCGAGACAGCGTGACATTTCGAAGAACTTTGGGAGAGTTTTTGAACATTCTACTAGCAAAATTTACAAAAACTCATAAAGTTCTTCGAAAAGCCACGTTGTTTTACGATTATATTCAAGGTAAATTTTAAGAGAAAATTCTCTCCGTGCATTAATGCGATTTATTTGTCGAGAGATAACTCTATAGTAAACTTCTCCAATTATTTGTTTTCCAGATCAATATTCTACCAGGATCATTATGGGACGAATCGTTGTCCGCGTTAACAATTAAATGTATAATGCATCCGCGAATGGTCGGTTTCAACATGAAGAATATCGAGATGACGGATAAATTGCCGCGTGTCTTGGAAACTCTGTTGAACTCCATGAGATCGAAATACAATGCTCTACCGGACATCTTCAAGAATTGTCTATTAAGTTCCACTCGGGAATACATCGCGAAGCTTCTCGATCTAAACGATATCGCGCAAAAGGACACCTGCGACGACCTGACGCAACACGTTAACGGTCTGCTCTTGTTAAAGCGATGTGATATGCTCGATCAAACGGTCGTAAGAGCGAGCGCTTTCATGAGCGGCGAGAAAGTGGTGCTGCAGATCTTCAGGTTTTTGGTGAGCGAGCGCATCGGGGAATTGACCTGCAGGGACTTGAGCGCGCGAATGATCGGGTACTTGCGAGCTCTGATGGAATTTCAATTCTCGCTGCTCTCGTGGACGATTGATTGGCCGGTGGTAGTACCCGACGACACTCGGTCGATGAGCGATGTACTGGTGAACCTGATGTCCGACAATACCCCGGTAACTAGCGTGGACTGCACGATGATCACGCACGGCGAACACTTCCTCAATACGTTCAAGAGCGTGATCTTTGAGTTTATATTGACGCGTGTGGGTGCGATCACGATCATTTTCGAGAATATGTTGCACGACAATCTGTCCTTACTGTTGGAATGGACCGAGGACCTGTTGCTGTTTCTGAAACGTCACAGGCGCGAATTGCGTGCTCACGTGGACGTGGACACCGTAGTCGACGCGATTCTACAACAGTTTACCCATCTGAGAAATACCGTCTTCAACGTGGACAGTCGCAAAGAGAGGTTGATAAGTATCTACAGTATCGTGGTGCATCTCAAGTCAACGCCCACAGAGGTTACGCAGAATGACGAGTTCTACCAGTGGATTCGGGATCAGTTGGCAGAAAACTATGGTCTCGAGCACAAGACGAAGATTCTTAAAAATTTCTTCGTCTGCTTAACAGACGTGGCGAATCGCCAAGATTTGCGGATAAGCCTGCGGAACCTGAAAAACGACGGCCGGTCCCTGTGCTCGAATCTCTCCGAGACGAGCGTGAACGCCATGAAGGTGATCGACTGCTTCGAGACGCTGCTGGTGCTACTATCGACAACCAAGTCGATGGTGTTGCTCGAGTGCGTGATACATTTCGCCGCCGGTGCCGGCAAACGTCTCTTCGACGAGAAACTGGAGGAGCATCTGCGCGGATACTACTGCGGTGCGTCCCATAAACACGTTGTAGAATCGTTGCAGCAAACCTACGATGCGTTCAAGGACGGTAACAGATGGACCGAGACGGAAAGGCTTGATATTCTGCACGGATTTCTCTTGCCAGCGTTCAAGGTCTGCGACGCAGTCGCGATTGAACACTTTTTCAAAAGCAATGTCCAAGGTCTGGTCCAAGACGCTGATTTACCTATCGATGACAACGATGACGCGATCAAGCAAAAAATCGTGTCGAAGATTGGATGCTTCCAGTTGCTAGCGATCATGTTTGCCCGGGTGGACGAGGGCAGAATTGACGCGAACGGAACGACCGCGCAAAGCAGCCAGGGACAAGTCCTGCTCAATAAGGAGTTTTATAAACGGCTATGTCAAAGCGCCACAAATGTCCGATCCATAAGAATAACGCGGCCGGAGTGCAAGGAGCTCGTGCGTCTGCTGCACTGCTTCGCGTACAACTGTTCGCTGGCAGCCGTGAGCCTGATGAAGAAGGAGAATTTCTACAACATCTTCGCGTTTGGCGAGGACAAGGAGAGGAGGCTCTGGGAAAATATCATAGACTGCAGCACGCAGTACAGGCTTGGTCAAATCTTCAAGGAGAATCCAAAGACCCGCGAGATCACCGTCAACATCAAATCCGCGGACGCTGCCGACGGACAGCGTATGCACAGATATACCCACGTTTACTCCTATGATCTGTCGTCTTGCACGTTGAGCGAGGATATTAACGCCTACGATTTTAACAAGTGCGTTATACTGCCGGCCGATTTTCGAAGTCGCGCCCCGTTGAATTCCACGGGTTCCGATCCGTCTTGCACGCACGGTGCGACGAGTATCGCCCTGGAGAGCAACGATTTTAACGAGCACGAGTGCATGCCGTATATCTGTGTCCTGTTGCGGCACATGAAAAACACATTCGAAGTGAACCCTGTCAATCCGCCCAGGTGGCTCAAGCTTTTCCTCAAAGTCATGCAGCGCAATAATCAGAATATTCAGCTGTTTATGCTGACGATCATTTCAAACACGGAAGAAGTGTTCAAACCCTACGCCAAAGCTGTGTTGACAGAGATCATCGCAGTTGTCGCTGATTACCTGAAACGATACGATTTGAACTACGTCATTACGGACGTTCTGGAGAGACTGCTGGGTTGGCACGACGTGGCCGTGCCGAGCAACGATGGCAAAGCAGCGGCGCAAAGGCTCTTCGAAGTGTTCGTCGAAAGGGCATTGATGACAAGAGGATCTGACCGTCGCGTGTACAATTACAATATCAGCCTGATAAAGCTCATGGTGGAGAAGTGGTGTAGCTGCTTACGAGTGTCGACCGAGTTTCTAAATGAAAAATTAGAATCCGCGGGCGCGGTGCATCTCATCCTGGTGCTTCTCGACAACGACACGACGGGAGAGATCGTCGCTAAGGACGACGTCGTCCATTCCCTGCTGACGTCGTTAGGCGATTGGAATGCGCCCGAGAAGGACGAGACGCCTCTACAGTGTTGCGAGTGTCTCGGCTTGTATCTGCGTTCTCTGGACAGCGACAGGTGCGACGAGGCTGAAAGAGAGAACAAGAAATGCGAGGTGAAGAGGAAGATCTTCGATATCCTAGCGAACGCCCCCACTTCGTCATCCTCGACCTACATAATCAAGCAGGTGAAACGCGTCGTTGTTCTCTGCCGAATTTATCCGGAGGTGGCCAAGGATTACATCGACGTCGCGGTCACCGGTATGGACAAAAACGAGCAGACGTCCTTCTGCCTGGAGATATTCGCGTTAGCGATACCGAGGCTGAGCGCGGAGGAGATCGCGAGCAATCTGCGTCGCATAAACCTGGAAAAGATTCTAACGAACCGCAGGCTGCCGCACGGCGAGAAGATGGCATTGCAAATCGTCCGCGACATGGTAGCGACCGTCTCGCCGACGGATCTGCTGCGTTACGTGAATCTGACGGTCCCATACCTCAAGGACAGTACCACGCAGAACCGGGAATTGGTCTACGACTTGCTCATGAGGACTCACAAGAGATATTCGGCGGACATCGCGGTGGACGACGACGCGACCGTGCAGGATCTGCTGTTTATCAGCGTGCGAAATCTCCTGGCCGGTCTGCTGGACCCGTCTCCCGATCTGCAGGACAAAATACTGAAATTCTGGACGGAGGAGACGAGCCTGAGCACGACAAACTCGAAGGACCGATTGGTCAAACTTCTGGCCATGCTTTCGTCGCGGATGACGACGGAGGCGGACGCGTTCGCGCCCTTCGTGACACTGCTAATGTTGCAGCTGGCCGCCGGATCGATGGAGTACACCAAGAATATATTCGACAGGCCTGTGCAGGACAGTTGCACCTTCGAGGAATACAAGATACCCGTTTCCTGGCGGCAGCGAAACCTGAGCTGCGTGACGCCGATGTTCGTCGACTCGCTCGCCTCCCAGATGAGCTACAGCACCTTCTCTCAGAGCGACGATTTACACGGGACCAATATGGCTCCTACATTCTCCTATTCGCGTCTCTTCCACGGTGTCCCTCGGAGGTCGCTATGCGCGACGCAGGAGTTGCAGTTTGAGCCGACTCTCGACGACGACGACGACGGCGATGACGCCGCGAACGCGTCCACGACGCTCGACATTTCGCGCGACACTGAATTCGATTGGACGAAAATCGCGTCCTCGTCGAGAGGGCCGCTGCAGACCCCGGCGGGACACAGGAGAGTCTTTAGAATTCTCGCAAACACATCGGACGTCGGAAATGTCCACCGCCACCGGAAGATACGGGAGAACGTGCAACGAGCAGAAAGGATAAAGCAAGAAAACATCAGGCAGAGAAGCAGCGTGAAATTGAACAGGTAAGACCTCTTGGCTTGATGTTTTTTTGCAATCTCAAATCTTAAATAATTCCGATGTTAATGTCTTTTCCCACTTCAGAAACTACAGGATCGGAGATTTTCCCGACATCGAGATATCTCACGCGAGTGTGATCGTTTCGCTTCAGCAGTTGATTAAATTGGACCGGCTGATCTGCAAAGACGTGACCGTGATCCTGCTCGATTCACTGATCAAGGAAACTAAGGAGATGGAGAGACCGGATTTCCGCCGGACCATCGTGGAGAGTCTGCAGCGAATCCTGCACGACTTGTGCGAAAGAGACAGCTCTTTCAACGCTGTTATTTTAGAGACATTGCTGCAGTTGAGTCGAGACGCTCCGATCGTCGATTGCGATCCGCGAGACATAGTGAAGACGTCTAAGGTGAATCATTTGGACGCTCACGGTGTTCTTCTTCTGGAACGCAGTTTACTGCCTGACGCGCATGACGACGTCTCGTCGCCCACGTCGAGCAAGAGAATGCGAAGACACGACGATGACATTCGCAACGAGAACACCAGGAAGTGGGCACAGTTGACGTCTCTCTATAAATCACTGAATGACGTCGACGTCGTACTGAGCATCTTCCGAGGACAACAGTCTTTCGGTCAAGATGTGCAGGTAATTTCCGATGGTGTATTAAATCGACATAAATTTATCAAATTAATTGAGATGCGAGACCGAGATAATTTCGCAATAATCTTCCATTGATCAGAACATTCACTGATTTTGTTGGCTTCGGTACATTCTTCACATTTGGAGAAAAAGCTCTCCAGTCCCCTTTTTTAAAGGAAATCAAATATAACTTCTGAAATATGACGAAGTTTTCTGACGAAACTGGACGTGTTGGCAATAAAAATCACGTTGCTCAGAATGTAAAGGTGACATTCGACATTTTCTGTCTAGGAAGCGGCTCTCGCGGAAGTGGACGGCGACTGGATTCGAGCGAAGAAGGCATTTGCGAATGCTTACGAAGGGACACAGGACCTGTCGATCAAGGAGCACTGCCTGCAAGGATTACTCGAGGCCGAGACCAATTTGTGTGACTGGTCGGCGATCGATCGGCTCGTAAAGAGTCGGACGCAGAACGGAAATCTAAGCAATATGTGGGACGACCCATGGAGGGACTGGGTGATCCCGTATGCCTGCGACGCCTTTGTACATATGTCGGAAATGGACATACGGGCAGTGAGCAACGACGATACGGAGACCATCGAGTCGTGGACATACGATCGAGACAAACTGCAGCACCTTATGCCTACGACAGGCGAAAATCTGGTGATATTTCAGCTGAGAAAGGACGTGAAAAAGGCGACCGATCTGTTAAACGAACTTTTAGACATTACGGGAAAGCAATGGGTTGAATTGAGTCCTCTCTGCACCGAGCTGAGACTACGCAAATTGTTCAAGTTGCAAATCATGAGCGATCTGGATGCTTCGCTCAAGGTCCTTCGGCTCCTCGCGAACAAAGCGGAGTACAAGACGGAAATGAAGACGCTGTTGAATTTCTGGTTGATGAAAGCACCTGGAATTCGAGACAATCTCGTGCAGTGGAACAAATTAGCTGCGAATCGAGGATACTCCTCGATGTTGTTTCAGGACAGTTGCAGAAAACGGAAAATCAAGAAGCGGCTATGTCAAATCAATTATCAGCTCCAACTGGGCATCGTCGACGCAGCGTTGAACCAAAAGCACCGTTATGTCGCCGAGAAGCATTTGAATCGTGCAATCAAGTATCTGGATTATATAAGTGAAGTGGTCTCTGAGGAGAACGTCCGTCATCTGAAGCTATCGTTAGCGTGGCTTGAGGCTAGAATCAAGTGTCTCTGCGCCGACGTCGAGACGAGCGTGTTCAAGAAGATATCCTGTTATACCGCTTCTTGGGAAAGTTTGCATGAACTGTTGAAGAGAGACGAGCTTGACGCTAACACGAGCACTGCCATCAAGGAGCATATTGGGACGATGGCTTCGAAGATCGAATTCTTGAGCAGGGAGAACGACGCGTTCGCCAGCGAATTGGCGCGCAGCGCCACGATCCTACGGGACATAGGAATGACGAGCACCGATCTGAATGACATCCGTGAACATTTGCTGCGCTACAGCTTGAATAACCTGCGATCTTGCTGCGAGGACGCGACCGCTGCTAACGTCGGCGAGCACTATTGCGCTCTAGCCAGACATTGTTACGGCAGACTGACGAGCACTGACGCGGAGAGCGACGAGATGTTCCAGGAGTTTTTGTTGTCCACCCTGAGATCCATGAGTCACGACTATCTCGAGGCTACGCATTACTTCCCCTGTCTGCTGAGGCCCGAGCGGCTGCGGGACGACGAGATGCGAGAGACGTTCGTCCGAGAATGCGCCAAGCTGCGACCGTGGCTGTTCCTGCGTTGGCGAGACCTGCTCTTTTCCCACCTGGCGACGCCGTCGATCGCAACCGCGATCGTATCGATCGTCGAGAGGCTCGCCGAGACATATCCCGACGCAATCGCCTACACGTATCATCTTACCGTCGAGAAAAACCCGGGTATTCTTCACGACGAGAAGTTCCAGCGGATACGCTCGCTCCTGCGCGATAAAGCGGAAGAGTACGGGCTGTTCGTGCAGGCGATACGGTACGTGGCGCAACCGAAGCTGTATCTGAGATATTATCTGGACGAGGCGATGAGGGATCTGTCCCGAGGGAAAACGATCGAGTCGACCGTCGAGTCGCTGTTGCGGAAAGCCTATCCGGATTCCGGCGTGGCAAGGGGAAGGAGTCCACAACCAGGCAATATCTTTAACACAATTGCGAAATACAAGAGAATGATTGAAGCCTTGAATCCTAACGATCGCGACATCGCGCGAAAAGAGATACAAGAACTTAAGAAGTCAACGTTGGATAAATCCTCCAAACATTACTCGGTTAACAACTACCAGACGCTGAAGGATTACAGCCCGTTCTTGCACGAGTACAGCGGCGGTATCGAGATACCCGGGCAGTACACTGGCGACAGGGAACCCATGCCGCGCCGCCACGTGAGGCTCGCGCGGTTCGAGACGCGGGTGGAGGTGATGCAGTCGCTGCGCAAACCGATTCGCATCGGCATGGTGGGCGACAACGGCAGGGAGTACAAGTTCCTCGTGAAATTCGGCGAGGATCTAACGATCGACCGGGGCCTGCAGCAGCTGTACTCCACCATGAACAGAACGTTGCGCAACGACCCCGGCTGCGGACAGAGGCGCTTGGCCATCGACACGTACGAGGTGATATTTGCGTCATGCGTTTGTCCTTAAATTTAAATGCCACGTGTCTTCGCTACCGTAACACACGAACTTTCCCCTTGCAGGTCATTCCACTGTCGAGCTCGTTCGGGCTCATTCAATGGATCGAGGACACGAGATCCTTGGCGGATCTAATAAACTTCACTTTATCGGACAGGGAGATTGACCAGTGCAAGATCGTCCACAAGAAGTACGTGAGGTGGATGGAGGGCGCGTCCACGAAGCGGATCGCCGATGCCGATGCGTACAAGGCGGCCGTGTCCAAATATAATCAACAAGAGGTCACGGAGACCATGAAGAAGTTGATCAAAAATACGAGGAAAACGGCTCTGCGCGACGCGTTCGACGTGATCAGCCCGTCCCCAGAGTGCTTCGTCACGCTGCGACGTAACTTCGTCGCCAGTTACGCGACCATGTGCGCGGCGCACTGGCTCGCAGGGGTCGGCGATCGCCACCTGGAGAACACCCTGGTGCACGTTGCAACCGGACGTTGCCTGGGCATCGACTTCGGCCATGCTTTCGGCAGCGGTATACGCGCACCGATACCGGAACTCGTGCCGTTCCGCCTGACGCCCCAAATCCTCGAGCTACTGCAACCCTTCACGGAGCGAGACCTCCTGGCGACGATCATGACCCACGCGATGCGGGCATTGCGCGACGACCGAGGTCCGATCCTCGCTTGCATGGACATATTCGTACACAAACCCACCTACCGGCCGTTCAACATCAACGACGCCGAGATGACGAGGGATGACGATGAAAATATTGACGCAGGTATAAAAGAATATACAAGTTCCGAGGATACCCTGAAATTTACCGTGGTTGGTTCGACGTTAAATTCCAATGACGAGTTCAGTAAAATTGTATGTTGTAAAAATTGGGACCTGAAAAAAATATATTTAAAAAGAAATCATATGTGTGTGCCATCAAACTGACCTATGTACGCATGATAGATAACACATTATGATTTGCAGATTTAAAGTGGTCGTCCAAGAGGAATATCGAGATAGTTGCGAAGAAGTTAAACGGAATCCACCCGTCAATCATCACGTTGGAGCAATTGAAAGAAGCGCATAACAATGAATACTTTGCGAGGTACGACGCCATAGTCGCCGGCAATGATGGGCTCAAACAATCACGGGCAAATGTAAGACGCGATCGCTTGACACCTGCAGAACAGGTAATTTTAATACTGGGAATTCCTTACTGAAATTATCCTTTCATGCCTCGACATTAATGATCAATTATGTTTCAGGTGGACTGTTTGTTGGATCAAGCGAAAGACTACAATATCTTGGGCCGCATGTACGCAAATTGGAAACCTTGGCTGTGATACCGCGTATTTGCGGAATATATAAATATTACATGTGAGATATCATGTGATATAAAAAAAAGAATGGCAATTGCATTCAGAAAGTTCGACTTATTTTATATATTTACGTTAAATAAGATAAGAAACTGTTTCAACACGAAGAGAGTCCCTCAGCCATCTTTTTTACTGCACAGTCACATATAATGTTTGCGCTTGTAATCTTTTTATTGGCTTTTATGCACAAAATAATACTGAGATAAGTAGCGGACCACATAGCAGAACATTGTCATACTTAAAAATTTATACCTATATCTTTGTTATTAGACTTCTGAACTGAGTGCTTTAAGTATGAAAATGCTCTGCTATGCGGTCCGCAACTTATCCTGGTGTTATTTTTGTGCATATAAGCCAATAAGTCCAAACAGTTAAATATAGTTTTTACGCTTGTAATTCATTTTATATGTAATTATAATTGATCATGATCATGATTTTAATATTGCAGTATTGCATATACATATATATGCTATTTTCTATATCTTTTTAAGGTATACAAAGTTTATTAGATTTTATAAATATTAAATATATTAAATTAGATTGTTAAAAACTACATATAATTAAGTATATCACTTTAGGCAGGTTGTACCAACCTCTTGGTAAGTTAACTAACAGTTAAATCATGTACGTCCTTGTCTTTCCTTTAAGTTAAAAAAGGATAGACGCCTAATTTAACTAAAACTGGGTCTTAAAGAAGAAGAATAGATATTCAGAGAGAAATTGAATTTTTATTTTAGATTTTTGAGACATTACTTTCAAGTCGTCGAATTTTAACCCTTGGAAAATTGCGATTGACTTAACAAAAAATTGTCTTAAAATATGCTATTTTGTCATTCTGAATGTAATCTAAGCAAATTGTTCGAGACAAAACAGTTTTACTTCAGTTTTCGTTTTAATACAAAAAATAGAATATAATTTGTGCATTCATGTATGTACGATTGTGCACTTATCATCAGATATACAATCTCTCGTGAGTTTCCGCGATTTCCGCATTAAAGGAATTGTTCTATTGTTGAATCCTAACACTCTTTTTTTGTGTATGTGTGTTGTGTGTGTGCGCGCGCGTGTGTATATATACATATATGTATGTATATATATATAATTGTCCGGTCAATTTACTACGTTTAATAATTTTGTACAATCACGATGAGATTTGTATTATTAATACTGCTCAGTCAAAGTTAACTATCTCTAATCTATTCATAACAGCAATTGCAAGCGCTAGCATACCGAAATTACCTCTAAAACGAAAAACTTACTTAACGTCAATAATAAAATATTCTGATATAAAATAGCATTTTACTTTATATCTAGTTCCTATGATCTATGCTTTACAATGTAGTTATTTTTTCCTTAACACAGAGATCTGTACAGCAGATAATAACAGCGTTGAATTTACAATCGTGCATTGCTTATCATATGTCTTTATGTATCGCTTTTCCATAGTTTAATGGTTTTGTCATTCTCGAGGGCGGCCGAAGCTATAATGTTGTCCGTCGGGTGGCACGTTGTGCAAAGTACCACGTCTAAAAATAATATGCGCGATCAGCGAGTCAATATATTAGTTAAAAAACGAGAAAATTGTGAAAAATACACGTATTTTCAGAAAACGTACATCATATTAGAGGAAAGTACATTTTTTAGCCTATATTTCCACTAATACGATTTAGATAAAACAGCAATCTGGTGTGTCTAAATATATCTTGTCTAAAATTGTATTTTTCTTTCTGTACACATATGCACGTATAACTGACATAAAGATTCGAAAGTTAATTTATGTTCATTCGCAATAGTAACTCTAACTTTTCTTAAATAAACATATGCTTACCTGTGTGTCCCTGTAGCTTTTGTACGATCTCTTTTGTCTGTAGATTCCAGATGTACACCATGTGATCTTCCGAGCCGGATACGATCCACTATAAACGAAAGGAATCATTAAAATGATTTTCAGGATCCGTTGCTTGCATCGTTAATTATGACACATTTGAGATTGAGCAGCCTCTCGCAATACGCACCTTTCCACCCGTTACGGAGAAGTTCGCGAAGATGCAATACTTCTCGTTTTTGTGGCCGCTGTACGTTTTCAGGCATTTCCCTTTACTGTAATCCCACAGCTTCAACGTGTTGTCTAGCGTTGCTGCCAAGATGTACTTGCCGTTCGGTGAAAATTTGACAAACGACACCGGAGGATTGTCGTCATCTATCAGAGTCTTCAGGCATTGTCCCGACGCGGTGTCCCAAATTCGACTGCAAATTGCGCGTAACATGTTATATAAAATTTAAATAAATGTCCGGAGAAAAGACACACGGCGCTGTACTCGTCACACAGATTTGGATGTTACAATGCTTACCACAATCCGTCGTAACTGCTCGAAACGATTAGAGAACCATCCCTATTGAAGTGCACAGCGCTTACAGGATCTGAATGTGCCGGTAAGGTTTTAAGACATTTTCCGCTTCTCACGTCCCAAATGCGCACACTTTCGTCGAACTAGATCGATTTACGAGGGTGTCATTACTGCGTGTAATCAATGAAGAACAGAATATACGTAACTAATTTACACGTTACTTATACGTTACTTACGGAACCAGAAACTATGAGGTTGGATTGTGGATTGAAGTTGCAACAGAAAACGTAATTACTGTGGCCCTTTAGCGTTTTCAAACATTTACCCTGAAAAGTGAGATTCCAAGATGAATGTATCGACGCAACGATATTATTAAAAGTCTTCAATTTGGCTATATAAAAAAATATATAAACAAAACTTCAAGCGTGATGTTATCGAGACATTTAGTATCGACAAGCGAAAAGTTTTCCATCTTCAACATAGCTGGAAAATCGTTGAAGCCTCAAAAGTGGCGTTTATCCACTGCAATTAAGGCCCGGTTTCACCGACGTCGCTTTACCTGGAGCTTAGCTTAATTCATTCTTTGGCTCTTTCTGTTACTTTAGAAAGAGTCGCGCGTGAACTTCTAAAACAGATGGACAACACAATGGATTACTTACGGAACACAATTCCCATATTTTCAAGGTCTTATCATCGGAGGCTGAGACCAGCAACCTGCTATCGCTGGACCACGCTACGTCGGAGATGCCAAGTTTGTGGCCGGCTATAGTTTTCTCAAACTTTCCGTCGTAGGAGCCCCAGATTTTGATAAGTTTATCAGCAGCTGAAAAAAAATCAGACGCATACCATTAAACACCATCGGTCTGTTCTTGGATAAATCTGAAATTTCGCAGCAAATCCCCAATATCCATAGTTACCCGAGCTGGCTAGCCACTCTCCATTGGGGCTGAACTTGACGGACGATACCGCCTTGGTGTGACCCGCCAAGGTATACTTCAATGTATAGTTAGACTTCTGTAAAGAGAGAAAGCAAAGGTGTACAGATATTGTCGCTCCTGCTTTACCATTTCATCGCGTTACAAAGTAACGCTGCTCAAACAATACAGGCCGCAGCCTTTCTTCCGCTCCTTTCTTTCGGTAAAGACGGGAGGAGAAGAGAAGCGCTTCGAAGTACTTGCAGCGGCAGTTCGACCGCAACCACAGTCCGCTGCTCAAACGCGCGACCGGAGACAGAAACAACTCGAAAAACCATGAAGCTGCCCGAGCTGGGACTGTACTCGCGCCGTTACCTCGTGCGTGCGGCCACGTCCAATGCTCGTATCGCGACCAACCGTATACCGGCGTGTTGGTGGCGAGTTCGTAACCTGTACACGCTCCTTACCACATTTAGCTTCAAATATGCATATAAATATTACCACTATCGCGTTTTTCGTGCCGCTGGCGGCCGCGCTGGAAGAATTGTTCACGGACGTTTGGTGTCCCGGCGACGGGCCGAGAGGTACCATGTTTCCCCAATTGTTTTCGTCAACGAGATGCAGGAACGCGGTAACGAACGTACAATTCGATCCGTGAAACTGGACCAGAGAGAGAGGGAAGCCCGTGAGCGCGGTCACGGCCGCTTTTGGCGCAGCCGCGCCAACCAATGCGCCACACGTTTGCAACGTGGACGGTGGAAACTATGTGGCCGTGCCGATGCGAAACTTCTCCGTAGGTAACACGTTATTGTATACACGAGTAACTCCCCCGATAACCAAGGCCGGTATTCATAGTCGAATCTTCAGGTCGTTCCACATTACGAATAAATACCACAATCGTAACATGTAATATAATGTAACTGATGCTCGGTGTTCACTGGGAATTTTACCGAATGAATTCTACATTTTGTGTACTTACAATCATGCGTTACCTATGTTGAACAAAGTGTAACAAGGTCCTCATTTTACTTCAACAATCTATTCGATAATTAATATTAATAAAGATGGTTAAATTGTATCTTTCAATATTTATTGAACTGTATTTTTAAAAACAAATATACATAATACACGTCATAATTACAAAGTATAACAGAATTTAAGGAATAAATTGATTCTTCTCATCATTACAGATATCGTAATGTGTGACTAGAGCGTAGATTAACAAATTCGATTTCTTTATTTTCATATACAGAAGGCGCCCGGCGATCATGGCGCAGAGGATCGTGCGCTGGTCTGGTAATCCGAAGACCCGGGTTCAAAACTAAATAAAAACATTGTTGGTTTTTCGTTCGATCGCCACATAGCGAAGTGGATATAGAGAGGTGTTATATGAGGTTTGGGCACGTTCCTTCAAAAACGCCTTGTAACCCTAAGGGGAATCAATAAAATGTACTATACAGAAGGCGCCCAAGATATCCTCGCATTGAATCCAGCTACACACGAGACACCAGTATTTTAGAGCAGATCGTCATCCTGTAATGCAGTTCTTCGTTAAAAATCATGATTAAAGAATGGCTAAGAGTTAAAAGTTTACGACAAATCAGTTGAATGGTAATAATCACTGTCATTCAGAAACACGGACCATTTATATCATCACAATGAAGAAATATTAAATTTGTAGGAATTAAAACATCGTCAATTTGACTTATTAGAGATGCGTCAAGTTTACACTTCAAGCTAAATCGACGATAAAGGAATACACGTATGTAGCGATACATCAATTTAATGCATAAATTTAACAAAATAATGCCAAGATTCATGAAAACATCGCATATACTTTACTCACCATATCACTTCAGAGAGAAAATTCTTCTCACGCTGCGAATCCTCGCAATCAATATCGCAACGCGTACGTCAGATGAGATGCAGATTAAATCAATCAATCGGTGAATTCATTCCATATACTTTCCTCCCTACAATTGTATTAGTTCGTTTTTAGTTAACTACGTCAAGAACGCTCGCATGAAATAAAAATTTACAAGAAATCAGAAGAATGGTTGTGATAATCATTGTTACTCAGTAACACGGACCTGATATCATCATAACCAAGGGATGTCAAGGCCTGGAAGGTAAATCTTGCACAAAATTATGTAAGATGGTTCGTAAGATAAAATAAACTACCTAGGAATTCCGAAAGTCTTTGCGGATCCTCCATCTTTGCGATCTCAGGCCAATCTGCGTCATTTTATTGAATGCCAAGTTCCATTCTTTCCGAGTGAACTCGAGCCAATTTCCTTAAAGAACGCCCGCGCGAATCTCATCTGAAAGATGTACATTGTAATAATTTCACAAACGTTTAATCTCAAGCGCCACACGACACATTTTACGCTACAAAATGTTTCCTCAGAAAATGGTTATGAAACTAATCACTGATAAATCAGCAACACGGACCAATAAATCTCATCATTTGGACAAGCGAAAGGATGCGAGACATCACACGGGCAAATTTAAGATTCGTATACATTAAATGAACAAGATAGTTTGAGACACGTGGTCAGGACCGTGGTAGGCAAACTGCAATCTTGGTAAGGAGCGAATAACCAAGAACGGACTATCGGAATCAACGGCGAAGAAAAACGCGGAATTGAGCGACGTATCGACAAACGTAGAGGAAGTTTCTCACCTTGTATCTTTCCTGCGTACTGTTCGCTTGTACCTTTCGCAAAAGGCAAACTGGTACGACGACGCGCGTCAACCGATCACGAGCGGGAAGAAGGCAATGCGCCGGAGAGAAAGCGGCGCAGGAAGTAAGTTGTGCAAGGGAAACCCCCACTCTTCCTCCTAGTTTCGTGACTTCCTGATAAACCAACCAATCGCAGAGGAACGACAGCTTTACGTTTTCAATTCTCGACTGTAATTGGCCAAATCGCTCACTACTCGAGTCTCACTACGCACTTCCGTGTAATTTTGATTAACTTATCGGTAATAAGTCCAGCGAATAAAAATTTTCATTAACGTAGAATTAATTTTTGATACAATAAAAGAAATATTGAATCAGGAATCATGTATGCTGAAAACTGCCGAAATTCTGACGGTGGTAGATGAAAATCCCCTATTATGAGACGCGCTCCTGATGTAGCGGAGTTTCTGCTAAATTAATAGGCATAATCTATTGATATCATGAATTTATTGCTCTTGGAGTGAAATCTGTTCAGTGAAAAATTGATTGTTAGGTTATCTACTATGTTAAGCATAATAGAGAAATTTCCTCTATTAATGGCCAATTAAATTAAACAGAATTTAATCTAAGTTAGACTTACGTTTTTTGAATTATTAAAATTAAAGTTACTCTCATTTATTTTTCGCTACTATAATACATTACTGTGTTCTTGCAACATTCTCGTTGGAGTGATGTCTAATATAATAAAGTAGCCTCAATATAGCCGAAGGTGTCACACCTGATATCTTATTGGCTGCTGCGATCTGCAAAAAGTTACAAATGCGTGAACTCAGTTGTAGAGACAAGTGCTGACTTATGGGAATAATTGCGCTGTAATAGCAGCAAATACAATTGGAATTGAGACAAGAAAGGAAAAAGAATTAGCTCTTTTGCAAAATCGAAGCTTTTACAGAAGAGCTGTCGTTAACTAAAGCATCTACCGTGCGTGGAAGATGTTTTGTAAGTTTCTCTCGATCTTCAGTGGACAAATTTAACTCAGAACTGTAACAGAAATAAAACGAGTGGTTAATAATCTCATACTTTCCGTAGACGCTTAGAACATTATCATTTCCTTATCGGTTTCTCGCCTTGCATAAATAAAAAACTAAATAACCGAAAAACGAGGTAAATCTTTGATCCTCACCTGTTGTAGTCGATATCATCGGGTATAGTCATTCGCTCGTTTCTCCTGATGTCGTTCACTTGCTCCTGCTGATCCGCGACAACGTAATCGTATTTCGTCTCTATCTGAAAGCCAAAGCATTGCCAGTGTTTCAAAAGCATTTTGGTAAATGCATCGCACTTAAATTAATTGCCGAACTTTCGTTTCGTTTGTTAAAACGCTATACTTCGAATGGCACAAATATTCTCTTCCGAGATGCGACGCACGTTCAATCATTAATTATTCGCAAACCTCTAATCTTCTCGCCAGATTGGGATCTCCATCTAGATGCTTTAAGTCTGGTAACACTTCCACTAGTTTCGCGAACGTGACGTTCTCAGTCGACGTGGATAGCATATCGTATGCCGACTTGTATTCAGTGGCCTTGGAGCTCTTCATATTCAACAACCGCCGCCACTTGGGACTGGGTCGCGTCTCGCTCTTGAGTATCTGTACAGCTTCCTGCATTTTACGACAAACTTCTCTCAACTTTTCGATTCTCTCGCGAGAAACGCAGCCTACCGCGTAACCCTTCTCCGTCAATCTCTGGTCGGCGTTATCGGGGCGCAGGCTCAGTCGAAACTCCGATCTGCTGGTGAACATTCTGTACGGTTCCGTGGTACCCTCCGTCGTCAGATCATCGATGAGGACGCCAATGTATCCTTCGGTTCGACTTATCAGGAGCGGCGGTTTCTCAAACACCTAAATGTACACAGAAATTTGTTCGAGATGTAAAAAGTATTTAAAAATGCCATTTAAACATATTTCAAAGTGCCTATATATTGATTTCTCAATTGGCAATAAAAAAAATAATTTCTTTGGAAGTTTAAGATTTATAATAAAAAGGCTGAATGAATAAGCCAAATCATCCAATTTGACGTTTCTTGATTCATGTGATTTTAATGGAAAGTCATATAAACTTTAAACCTGTCTTTTTTTTTTACAATTATAAAATATTAATGTATAAACACTTTCTACACAACGCCAATTACCTTAGCGGCCGCGTTAACGCCAGCGATGATACCTTGTGCGGCTGCTTCTTCGTAGCCGGTGGTGCCGTTTATTTGCCCGGCGAGGAACAGCCCCGGAATCTTTTTCGTCTCCAACTGGGTGGTCAATTCTCTAGGGTCTATGTAATCGTACTCGACACCGTAACCAGGTTTCGCTATTTAAATGTGGATGCAAGTGAGGGGAAGATTTTACGATATACAATTATTATAACAGAAATAGAAAGGCCCTATTACTATAACTTGAGCCTAATTGTACATAAGTAACACATTAAAATAATATATGATAAGTCGTTCACAACTTCCGATCTATTTTAATTTCTCATAAAGAACTTACGAATGAGACTGTTCAGGAATAATTAAATCCGATCAATTTCCAAAGCTAATCAAAATTCACGATAAACTTCAATCTGAAGAGATTACCTAGACGAGCGTTTTCCAATCCTGGGATACACTTAACGAGTTCCACCTGCTTTTCCTCCGGCAGAGTGCACGACAATCCCGCCGGATAAATCAACGGCGAGTCCAGACCTTCCGGCTCCAGCCAGACCTGATGTCGAGGTATTTTGAATCGCAGAATCTTACTTTCTATGCTCGGGCAATACCGCGGGCCCGATATCTCCTCCGTTACGTGTAAATTACAGTGCATATTGTCCTTTATGATTTTTGCAACATCTTCGTTCGTATACGTGAGGTACGTTAACACTTGTTTGTCGGGCGGTAGCCATACGTTATCATTCATAAACGAGAACGGTATGGGAGAACTGTCTGGCAGCACTTCCAAACATTTGGTAAAGTCGATGCTTTCTTTTTCTAATCTTGGCGGAGTGCCTAAAAATATATACATATATTAAATAATATTAAACCTAACTAATTAAATAAAATATATGTATATTATGTATAATTACGATTAGAATTTTTAATCAATATGTATATGCACCGATTGAAACACTAAATATGAAATGTATCCATCGAAAATACGAATTAATTTTATTTACGAATAATATTATGCCAATTAATTAGATGTAGTAGAACGTTAGTCTCCCTTACCAGTTTTCAATCTTCCTATTCGAAATCCAAGTCTGTCGAGCGTATTTGCCAAACCAATGCTGGATTCATCGTTCATTCTACCTGCAGGCCTTTTCTCTAATCCGATGTTTATTTGGCCTTTCAGAAAAGTACCTGTAGTTATAACCACCGCGTCACCAAATATCTTCGTTCCATCCCCTGCAAATTCAATCGGTCACACATTTTAATTATTTCAGTTAACCAATGTGGGAAATTAACAATCGACACAACTGGCAAATTCTAATTGAAGAAATTTATTGCGAAAACTATTACCTCAGCCAGGGTTTAAACCTGAACTACACTCTAGGCTCACCAATTCGACCACTGAGGCACGTGGTAATATTTGTCGCAATAAACAGTGTAATAATGATATTTTCGCGTCTATTTTTCCAGATTCAAACTCTACGCGAGGTAATGTTTTCCGCAATAAATTTAATTAGAATTTGCCAGTTGTGTCGATTGTTATTAATTTTATACATTGGTTAAGTATATACTGGCGACAATAAGTCTTTATTCTTATTTCAGTTAAATTCAACGATCTCTATTCTCCTTCTATTTTACTTAAAGTTCAAAACATACTGAGAATCACTCCTTGGCAGGACAGAGGCTCGTTCTCCAAAATCAGATCTTCTACAGAGGATTCGTAAATATGCAATCCGCGCATATTGAACAGTTCCGCCTGAAGATGCTCCTTGTACAACTCCCTGTCGATTTGAGCTCTGAGACCCCATACCGCCGGTCCCTTGCTCTTGTTCAAGACTTTATAGTGTATCCCCGAAATATCGCATATCCGACAGCACACTCCATCTAAAGCGTCCACTTCCCTCATCAGATGGCCCTTTCCAATGCCGCCAAAGGACGGATTGCAGGACATCTCCCCTGCAAATGTAAACGTACGTTATATTAAGTTGTACGCTCTCGCTTCGATCAAAGATGCGTTTCACACGCAGCGATCCAGAGTTCGGCGTACCACGGTTAACTTCGAGTGTACGTACCTATGGTACTTTTTTTCTGAGTGACCAACAGTGTCTTTGCACCCATCCTGACAGCGGCAGCAGACGCTTCGGTTCCGGCATGACCGCCACCAACAACGATCACGTCAAATATATTCTCATCCTTGTTTACTACTATCTTTCTTCTTAACAAGCGTTTCTGTACGGAGCGTCCATTGCACCACCGGTTTAAGAGAGACGGTCTGATCCTGGTAAACATCATTTTGCCTCGCCGTTACCCCTTTCGTCCGTAGTTCACTTACTGCAAAGATACATTTGACCATTCTTATACCAGAAAGTGTTACAATGAAATTTAATATCAATACATTATATCACTGGCTCGTTGTAATTTAAGTACTTATTGATCACAGCTTATCTACACGTTAATATGAATGTCTAATCGTCTAACATTTTCGGGAAACAAATTTTATTCTTGCTCGTCTCGTGCAACTTTTATCTCTTTAAACATTACGTCATGATTTTCCTCTCACGACCTTGGGTGTGTTCCAGTTTCCTCTCGGTACTGGATGCTATTATTGAATTCAGCTTCTAAGGAAGTCATTTCCAAATAAAACCTCAGTGTACTTCGCAATAACATAGCAGTTATTCTTTTCCAAATGTAACCATTCACGCCTCTTCTTTGATGCTGACTGTCCGAGACTATTGCGAGTACCGTCAGTAGTACCGAGAGGAAATGGGAACACACTTTTTTCTTTCGGAAAACAGAAGGAATACGGGTTATTTGACACAAGGACAGGCATCCAAATATGAACGTTTTATTGCACGAATTATAAATAATATAATATAAAGGTAAGAAAATGTATCAAACGTGAGGATCCGACAGCAGGTATTCCCGACTCTTCAAGGCTCTGTACAACGAAACATATTGAATTGCGCTGAACATCTTCAACAGTATCAATCGCTCGCACAGATCTCCCTTGTTCGCGAACTTCAGATCCGCGTATCCCAGATTATTGAGGAACTCCAGAACGAAGTCGAGACAGTTCATATCGCTGGCGTTATAGTTAACGGATCTCCACTTGAGATGCCGCGACATGAGTGCCAAAGTCTCGTCCCATCGTGCGGTCCAGGCTGCCGGCACGACTTCCAAGGCGATGCAATCGGTCCACCTGGTCACGTCGTTCGCCACCAGTCCCTCTTTGTCGAACTCCAAGATACCGCCGCCGGAATCGACTATCCCAATGTGTAGATCGTCGCGCGTCGCGTCGTAATCGTCGAGAAAGCTGCCGCGCGAGGGCCGAATTACGATGCTGATCGGCCTGTGCGTGGCATTCGCAAACGGGTATGGAACGCGAAACGGGTCCACGACAAAACTCTGCATTTGCACCGAGCACACCGGACACGTCGCCGGTACAAGCCGGCAGAATACACTCCTCGTCGAGCAGTGACGGAAACAGACGATGCCCGGGTCGTTGTTCATGTTACCGTTGAACGCGACACGGTTCAACTGGATCTTCCTAGAGAAATGTTCACTCTGGTCGAGGAAGACGAGAGAGCTGCCAGTCTGCAGAACAAGGCGTTATGTGTACGTGACAACGAACATTTGTTACGTGGAGTCGGCTTTGTCCATCTCTTTCTTTGTTTCTTTCTTTTCACTGTTTTGCAATGCTCGCACTGGAACCGAGAAAGCAAAAGGGCAGGAAAAGTGTAAAAAGATATTTGCAATAACGCAAACAAGATACGTATTATAAGTATACAAAACGAATTTGCGTGTAGCACACGCACTAATGTTGCGACTTCTAGCGATGTAGATCAACTTTGATCTCGATTCGACTTACTTTTTCCACCTTTTTCCAATTGTCAAAACCAGAAGAAGATAAAAATTACGTTAAACCGAGCCTGGAGTCCGAGATAAAAGCCGATCTGCGTAGAAATATTGACAGAGGCTGCGGGTCAAGCTGTCGCTTCAAATGTTACGGAGTATTCTTCTTCTCTTTTCTTTTAGTAAAGATAGAAAGAGAAGAGAAACGCTTCGAAACGTTTGCAGCGGCAGCTTGACCATGGCCAGAGCTAAACGCAAACAGCGAGATCACGTGATCCTAACCTAAACGACACACTTCAAACGTCGCGAAGGTCGACGCTGTGCCACAAAGTTACACTGGCGTGAGTGAAAAAAGTACTTCACGTGCACGCTGTAAGCTGCAATCGGATCGAGACGCATTGCCGCGTTATCGAAGCGGTCGGACGGAAAAACGAGTGCGCGTCGCCTAACCTCAAAACTCAAAATCGGATACTCACACGAGGAGCACGCGTGCGATCGCAGTTCGCGCGAGCGTCATGCCTCGTGACACACGGGGACGACGTCGGGCACACGGAAGTGTCACAAGTTGCAGTAATCGCCACAAGCTCGTCGTCGCCGCGAGTTTGGCTTTCAATTCTGCAAAGTCTCCGCCACGTGCAAAATCGTATACGAGTACTGCGACGTCAACATCTCCGAGTACTCGCATTTACCATTTCTGCTGTCGCGACAAATTGATCCGAAATTGCGACGAAAGAGCAGATACCCACTTTACCGACCGAGCGGTCGGTAAACACGACGGCGCCACCGTCCGCTCGGCGTCCGGCGGCGAAACGATCGCGGATAGAAGCCTCTCGGGGGAGGATCGGAAGCACCGCTCTCCTCTCGCCCCACGCTTGGCCTTTCGCTCCCTCGCGCCGGTCCCGTTTCCTCGGCGTAGGGTACACGTACGTTCTTGTCGACGCGGCGTAGACTCCGCGCGACCGCACGTACATACATTTGCAATCGGCTGCACCTTCTTACACTTTCTGCAGCCGAAATAACGGAGGTGCAAAAGGTGCAACGGAATAAGCGCGAAAATAAGATACCGCGTCCACGCGAGAAAGGACTCCCGGCCGATTCGGCTGGGATTAGGTGCGAGGGGAAAAAGGATCGCGCCGAGTGCCGCCGCGGGCCTCGCGGTTATCCCGTCGGCGACTCCGTGGCGTCATTCCGTCGGCAAGGATGAAAGGCTGGTTCAACCGCGACGAGGAGGGCAAGGTGATCATAGACAGCAACGGTTTTGTGACGATCACATGCGAAGGTAACGCATCACGGCGGATTGTCACAACATGCACACGGCATATCCCGCCGTTGCACAATGCTCATTGTTTCTCCCCACCGCGGTTAATGTCCGTTTAGCAGAGTCAATTACGAGGGGAGCACACAGTGGGTACGCACGTTGACGACCATGTATGTTTACAGAGGAGAATGTGGCGTTCCAGCTTCACATATCGGAGATCGACGAGAAGGCGGAGCAAATGTGCTTCAATGTCAACGGCAAGGATATATACATCGACGTCGTCCCGTGGGAGATGGCCGATAACGACTCCGAGAGCGAGAAAGCCCAGGCGGACAAGTCCAAGGAGGAGGAGAAGGCCGGCGCGTCGACGAGTAAGGGTGGGAACGTGATTTTCCCCTGGTGCGACGCCTCGACCAAGATCTTCCTGAAGCAGTACAAAGAGAAGAAGGAGCTGGTGAAAAATCGGAAGCTGAAGAACATGAAGAAGGCGTACCAGGAGATAGCTCAGAGTCTGATTGACAACGGCTTCACCGTGTCGCCGCTGCAGGTGGAGAACAGATACAAAACGCTCAAACGCGCCTACAAGAACATGATGATACACAACCGGAGGAACGGGCGGGGAAAGTACATATGCAGTTACGAACGGTGAGTTTGTCGCCGGACAATTCCTCGCGGGTTGGCACCTGGTTGTCGATTCACGTGTTAAATGTGCTTACAGAGACCTGGACGAGATCTTCTCCAATAATCTGTACGACACGGAGTTGAACGGCGACGACGACCTGCAGCAATCGTAAGTTACAACTCGTCGGGTTGCAGAATTGTGTATCGTCCGACCGTTGAATTGACGCGCAAATATTTCTTCAAGGTCCACGGTGATTGGCAAAAGCAATAGTACCGAGGCATCGCTCGATTTCAAGCACAACGCCAGATTAGAGGCGCAGAACGGGAAGATACTCGAGAGTCTGCAGAGCTGTCACCGTTTATTGAAGACCTTGGTAAACAGGCTGGACAACAAGAACAAAAATTCCAATTACATGCAGAACGGAGTCCTGCAAGTGTGCATGGAGATGCGGGACATGCAGAAGGAGGCGTATTCGCGCGCGGAGGAACAGAGAGAGCGGGCCAACGCGCAAAGGGAGGCGAGGAACAATTTGTTGGACGAAATTCTAACGATGCTAAAGTCTGGAAAGAACACGTAATACGACCAACGCCAAAGGGACGCACGATCTTGTTTCCACGAATAGTTGCAAAGTAACAGAATTTATTTATTCTATTGAACGCAAGAAGCGGCGACTCTCTTGTTATGTATTTTTATAATTTCATTACACGATTAACGTTTTTTAACATCGTCTGCTTAGTGAGGTTCCCGTGTACCGATAGAATTATTTAAACGATAGAAAATCTTTACAACCTGGAAAGAGATGGAAGTATCTGGTATATGTCTCAAACATGTAATACCTAATTCTATCCAATTGGCCCACTGATTCAAAAATATTTCTCAGAGATTCACGGCGATTGGCAAAAGCAATAGTGCCAGCTGTGCTACCGAGGCAGCGCTCGAGAGGATATTTAGCTAGATCTGAATACATGACCTCGAACGTTCAAGGAAAGTGTCGACTCTCTGGGGATCCGATGATTTTTATTATTGGGTCTCATGAGATCTAATTAGATACGGTACATCGAAAAACATACACGAGACTTTCCATTTTCTTCCTGGCAAATGATTAAATCCTGTGTAATATGATTCTATAACGCTATCATGGAACTGAATAACGCACTTTATGTTGTTTACAAGCTACGTAGGTCATTTGTGATTTTGTATTGGCTGTACATTTAATATAAATGACTTACGTAGCGAGAGACAGGTTTTTGGAAGTTTTAAAATGTTTCGACAACGCCAGTCGAGATCAGTGAAAACGTCAGACGTTGGTCACGGAGGATAAATTACCATCGCCACAGCAGCCAGCGTGTTTAACTTGTCCAGCGAGACGGTTGCTGGTAACGGGCTAACGGTGCTGCACGAAAATAAATTGTATATACTGATAGGATACGATAAGCGAGATGTTCATCGTCTGTGCAAGCTCGAAAGCGTGTGAACGACCGGCCGACAACTGGGTTCTATTCGACTCCGAGGCATCCCCCTCCCCACTAGAGTCTGCCCTATAGTTAAAATTAGATAATACAATTTAAAGTTACATGGGATAACTAATTAAATTAAGGTTGAAATTAAAAAGATCAAAGTTGTACGACAAATATCTACGTTACCTTTTCCTGTACATTAATATTGAAGAATATATTCATATTTCTGATATTGTCGACGTGTTCTGATGCGTCTCCCGAGCTTCAGCTGCACGGTCGTGGTCGGAAAGGCCGAGAGAGAAATCGTCCGACGTTTCACGATAAGTTTACGGAATATTCGTGCGTATCATCCCGTTGCCCTAACAAATACGTCGCTGCGCATACCCGCGAACAAATGCTATAGTCTCTCGCACGATGGACCGTACTTCCGAAACGTAGTCCTAAAACGTCGGACAATCCTTCTGAGTTTCTGACCGCGGTTGCGCTCATGGTGTAAAGATACAAGGTGAAGCAATCTGGCGGGTGCGCGGTGTCAACCAATCAAAAGTGGCCCAAACTACCGAATTGACTAATTAGAAATTTGCCCCGACCGTCCAACTGCAAATCATTGCGGTTGAACGCAGGAAGAGCCAATCAACAATTTGCCCGAAAAATTGGTCACATGCGCAATGTTTCACCTCGTATCTTTACACCATGATCGCGCTGTTGTTGCCTACTGTAGCGAAGCGAATATGCCCGTGGCAACGAGAACGGGATGACACGTTCCTGATGCAGCTTTATTATCTCTGCTCTTCCTTTACGGCTCCGGCGCACCGTTTTTGACCCACGCGGTCACGTTACCGCGGGGGGCGGCTCGACGATTTCTTTTGGAGCGTCACCTATGCCCGCGAAAGAGGATCGCGCCCAATAGGAGAGAGGCGAGTTGCATCTGACGCAACTCCCGCGCGCGTGGACAATCGCGCCCGATGTCGCTTCCTGTCGCTCACATGTCACCCGCGGTTGTGCGCTAGCATATTTCCCTATTTATTCGCGTATTTATTAATTTATTCGGCGACGATGATCGTGTCCACGAACGAGGGCAACCCGAACGCGTTGAAGCTGATTGTCGCAGCTAAGCTGGCGCAGCGGACCGTCTCCGTCAGGATTCTCAAGCCCAGTGGTGGGTTCATTAACCTCCTCCTGTTCGCCCCTCGAAGAATGGAATTTCGTAAGATTAGGACGTACGCGAGATTAAGTTCGGGCACGACTTCGCCTTGCAAAAATTTTTGTTGAACGCCGCTTGTATCTTTGTCAATTTTTCTCTATCTCGCCGAGTCGATCAATTTGCTTTCCAAGGTAAAGGTACCAGTGCCCGGACGTGCGCCCACATCTGGACATTCGTATTTATTTTTTGTTGGTCTTTAAACGCGGATATTTAAACTCCACCGTAGTGTAGCGAGTAGGTCCACTCCGTTACCCTGGCAAAAATAAAAAGTTTCACAAGTGTTTGTATGTAGCGTTTACGTGAGCGTTTGCAGGAGTTCGTGGAAGAGTTTAGAAACGGTTGATTAGAAGACGTTTGTATATAGCACTTTTGAACTTGGCGTTGTAGAACTTTCATGAAACGTTGTATACAGTATTTTACAAGCGTTCAAAACACGTCGGCGTTGTGTGAGCATTCTCACAAAGTTTGAAAGCGTATGAGCTTTAAAAAAACCTTTAACGGTTATCGACGCTTTACAAAGCCCGTTATTTTCCTTCTGTGCACCCGACATTGCTCTGGGCAGAACGATGGGCGTGCGATTATGACTGTGTTGTTGTACGTAGATGCTGCCTTGGGGCGCTTGCCGACGCTGACTGCGCCCTCAGGATTGTCGCTGTTCAGTGTCTCTTCGGCGCTGCGCTTCCTGTTGCCTGTACCTAAAGAGACGGAGGTTCTCAACGACAGATGGCTGGAATGGGAGATTTCTCAATTACAGGTGTCGATTATATTAGACGTTGCATCAGCGTGTCAGCTACGGATTTACAATCAAGCCCAATCTTTGGTTCTTTATACGTGTTCATATAATTGAACTTCACAGAAAACTGTTCTTAGTTTTGATAATATACCCTTAAAGCGTATTAAAGTTTAATGTACTCTTCGCAGCCGGCCATACTAAGAGATCACGCAAACGCAGGGGCTTCTAAAGGCCTGCAGCAATCTGACTTGTGGTCTTTACTGAAAGATCTCAATAGTGAACTGAAGGACAAAGAGTACTTAATTGAGGCAAGTGACAAAAGTACTTTGTTACACAAATGTTCTTTTATCGCCCGTCTTTTACTCTATCCTCGTTATATATATATATATTTTTTTTAGAAATGTAGTAATTTATCACCAGCAGATATTTCTATTTGGGTAAGTCTTTGGAGCACGATATTGGTTACAGATATCGCAAGCGATATTGCCAAGGACTTGCCAAACGTCGACCGTTGGTCAGCTAACATTCAGAAGCAGTCAGTTGTCCAACAGTCGATTAAGGTAAGATTTTATCGCAATTGGCATCTTATAAACGTGAATTCGATACATATAATTAAATGGGCTCTGAATATGCAGGAATCAATCGAAATGTTCAACCTGGAAAGAGGTGCAAAGGCTGTCGCGAGCATTCAGGCTGCTTCTTGGTTCCCCGTCAATTCAGCCCCAAATTTCCAAGTTCGCGAATCAGTACCTAGTAA